CATGCATGGGGAGGAAATTACTGGGGAGGAAATTTCTTCAAGATCAGTAAGATCTACTCCTAGCTTAACAGTGGTGTTGTTAGGTAAGGTTAGACATTGGACCTAATATTTTTTGTGGGTTTTTCGGGCTGTGTGGCCATGTTCTAGAAGAGTTTCTTTCTGACATCAGAAAGAAACTCTTCTGGAACATGGCCACACAGCCCGAAAAACCCACAGAAACTATGGATGCCGGCCATGAAAGCCTACGACTTCACATTGGACCTAATGTTTGGAGGAGGGAGATAATTATGGCCAAGATCCTACATAAGGGTTGATTAGAGTAATTCTCCATGTGTGGACATTTTAATTTTATTGATTATGCTATGCAACCCCAGTGTTGAATGCCAGTTTTGTACCTGTCCATACCTGAATGTGCCACTGAATGAACACCTTGGGTGTATGCACATCATATACTCATCTCTTGTGTGAGTATACCTGATGTGCATGTACATCTCATGCACATTTGTATGCACAATGGCACCACATGTGCAACTCTGCTTCCTCAACTTTGAACCAAATGCAGCTGTTTATAGACAAAAATGTTCAGTTGCTTCAATAGGAAGCTTACACAGGTGTCAGACATCAACATGATTCCAGTTGTTATATATTGCTTCACTTACTTCAAAATGTGATAAGCAAGTTCTTCATATTCAGGGGCTTTCTGTGGGAACCCCATAGATGTCTACCTTCAAAGTCCTTTTCTCATGGCAACCTTGTATATAGGTTAGGATTTCAGACTTTAACCAGCCAACTCTTTCAAGTACTAAACATGCAAAATTCAAACTCTTCAGAATGTTGTGGCTTCTTAACTTTTCCAGAATTGTCAGACTTACAGTCTGAACCAATGCATCTAAGACAGGTGCAATAGAACTGTTGCGTTTAACTGTTTACTGCCTCATGGTCTGTTGACCAATAAAGCCATTGATTGACAGGTGGAATGAGTGAACGAACTGGCATATCTTGGGTTGCTGAGAATTTTTCTAACTGAGTTTAACCTTGACATTTGCAGTGTTAAATTGGATGTTGTTCACAGAGCCTACAAAACAGATTTTTTGTCTGGCAAACTCCAAAATTCTCCAACCAGTGGTGATCAGTGGCTTCCAATTCAGAGGTGCAATAAATCCATTTTGAGTTTTTCTCCAGACTTTAAACGTAGTGACCCCTGTCCCCCAAAATAGGTTCAGCACCTTGGATTACACCTTCAAAGTCTGGAATATAACCCATAATTGGATCACTGCACCCATGACATGAAGCCACCAGCTATTACTTTTTAGACTACAGCTGGAAAGTGTCATCAAAAAATACAATTTTATCCAGCTCTGGCAATTCTCTTTACCATTCTTTCCCTCACTAGGAAGCAAGGTATTAGATAAAAATTCCCCTGTGAACTTTATAAATTCCTTTGAACTTCTCTTCTTCTCTCTTACCATCTGATCCTGATCCAGAAAATGGTGATGAAGCTTTTAAAAGGGTGACTTTTCTTCTAATGACCCTTTTGCATCTCCATTGCAAATTAGACTGAAGCAAGAACTGCTTCAGCTTGCACCTCCATGTGCCAGCAGTGAGCAACTTGGCATTGTTGCAAGCTGCATTTTCCCACCTATGGAGGTGAAGAAATTTCACCAATTTATGATCAAGACAGGTTTCTTCCAAATTGGTCTAAAGATACATGAGAACACCTTGGAGTTTGTCTAATTTTGATGGTTTTTGTTTCATCCAAAAGGGTTGCCTGGAACAATTTCTTGGATCAGCACTCAGGCTCTTCTACAGGATTTAAGAAAGAAAATGTGTCATGGTTTGCTATGGTTGTCCCTATGATTTGAAGGGCCAGAGGTCCATGAGGGTGCATCCAACAAAAGAAAAATAGTTGGACTTGTTTCTGCTGCTTTCCCTGCTCCCCGCCAATATGAAAATGTCTATCTTGGGGAAACTGCCACACTGAAAAAAGTGGGTTTTGAGAAAGAGGTTGCATTGGGAGCAATATCATAGCTATGTACTGAAGATAATGCAGGATCTCAGCCAAATTTTTTACAGTCTTGCTACAAACACTGCCCTTTTTCTGGAAGGGTACTTGATACTGCACCACTCAAATAAAACAGTCTGATCCACCTACATTCTGCTAAAAATGTGTGGTTTTTCCATGCATATTTGGCTACTGTCCACTCTATTGGTAGCCCCAGGAGGGGGCAAAAGAGGAAGACATCTTGCATGGTAGCTGCCATTTCAGATACACCAAAATGCACACCAAAAAAAAAAAAAAAGATTTCTGTTAAAAACCAAATAGCAACTGTTCTGTGTTGTTGTTGTTGTTGTTGTTGTTTTGTTCTTTTTTCTTCTTTTTTTTACACAAAAGGATTTCATCTTATCTTATCCTCAAATACAGGGGAAATAAAACAGTTGACTTCCAAGTGGGTGGAAGAGCTGAGATATGGTCCTTCTCAGTTTGGTATGTGTCTACCTCAGGTCTACTGCAGGAGAAACTGTGACCTATTTAGGGACAAATCACTGGTCCTGGAGAACTCCAGAAGAGGAAAACCATTTCTTTGCCAGAAAAAGTATGGTCCAGAGCAGTCAGGGGGATTCATGGGACCCAGCAAACAGCTTTGCCTCCAAATATGTTTCCAGGCCTGCATTTTGCCCTGCTCTGAATTAACAGCCCTTCATTGTTTTCCCTCATTTCTTAGGAGGTTATCACATGGGGGCCAGTTTCGTGGTTAAAGAGATAATAAAGTGGAAATAAAGCATCCCAAAAATAAAGCGAAAATAGTGCTAAATTGCACAAAAGCATTTCTCACGTAATTAGAATAAAAATGGAATTAAGTGAAAAGCAAAAAAAGACGTTTTTAACTTTCATACTCAAGTAAAAAAAACTGTAAATGTACTAGAAATGGACGTGTTTTGTTTTGCTTTCGGGTGACCAGACTCCTCCTTTTCCAGGGCAGGTCCTGCATTTTATTCAACCTTCTCTCCTCTCCAGGAAGAAATGTCAAACTGTCCTCCTTTTGGAGCAGGAGTAAAAAGCATGATTTTCTATTTCTATGTGTGTGTGTTTTTAAAAAGCTTTTCTTGAGTCCTGTCCTCCTGGACAGTCTTCCTTTGGGGTTAGGACCTCTGGTCCCCCTGATGCAGACGGAGAAGAGGGCAGCATCCCTCCTCCTGTGGGCAAACCTTTTGCTGAGGGAATAAGCCTGCCACCTCTTCAGCTGTGAGGATGTATGTCTGTGGGGTTGTCCTTTTTGCCTTGGAGAGCAGCCACTTGCTAGCCTAGGTCCTCTTGCTCTGGGATGGGCTGAGAAGCAAGGCGCCCCAAATTGGGGTCTGACTCACTGGAGGGGTCCCCCTTTCTCTCGCTTTGTGGTGTGCCTTCAGGTTGCTTCTGACTTAGGGCGCTCCTAAAGCGGTGAACCTATCCTGGGGTTTTCTTGGCAAGTTGCTTCA